CACGGTGCACTTTCCCACGTCTTTAGATTTCCAGGTCAAACTCTGGCAAAAATGAGAAAATACATTTTTATTTTATTTCAGATGTTCCGTTTGTTTTTCATCGTCGTCGTGGAAACGCGTCTCACCGTCTGAGGCACGAAGTTTTCTGCCGCCGTTGACAAGTTCATGGCGAAAACGTGATCTCTGAAAAACACGAAGAACATGTTGGACACGATCTGAGTCTCCCCGCCCTGTGCTCTCTGTGCTAAGTCCCTCCCCCTTCAGAGCACGTTCAGACTGCAGGGCTTAAAGCTCAATTCAGATTTTTTTGTGAAATCAGATTTTTTTTTTTTTTTTGGGGAGATTTTAAAGCTGCTGTGGAACCGGAGCCAGAACATGACCAGTTTTAAGGAGGAGACTGAGAGGGAGAAGGACGAGGGTTTTGGTCGTGGAGAAGACGAGAAGAACGTTTGTGAACATTTGTGACTCGTGTCGGTGGATGAACGTGACCTGGACGTTCAGACTGAAGTCACATGTTGAAGATCAGATGTGTTTGGGTTTGAGGACAGATCCAAGTGTCCTGAGTCACGTCTGAACAAATCTGATCTGTGTGGTTCAGACGTCATTAAAAGATCAGATACAGGAGAATAAGGACAAAAAAATCTGATTTGGTCACATCAGGCTAAACTCTGAACTTAGTGTTGGATCTGTGCTCCTCAAACCCAAACTGATCTGATCTTCTGATGTGTGACTTCAGTCTGAACGTCCAGGTCACGTTCATCCACCTCCAGGTCACGTTCATCCACCTCCAGGTCACGTTCATCCACCTCCAGGTCACGTTCATCCACCTCCAGGTCACGTTCATCCACCTCCAGGTGTCATCAACAAGACAAACGTCACTGTTCTGAGCTGAAGTTGGCAGAAACTGGAAGAAAACCACAACCACGAAACTCAAACCTCACTGTGTGACGTGGCATTTAAAGTTCACACTGGAGATCACACACAAGTCACATTTAACTTAAAATGTGAACGAGCTCGCAAAACAAAAATCACATTTCACACAAAAATCCAAAGTGAACATAAGTGGCTCCCCCTTCAGAGCGTCGCTGAGGAAACTCCTGCACAAACACCAGGTCCAGTCGCTCGCTTCACTTCAGTGTCGTGTTTTGTGTTTTTATGGAGAGTTGTCGTGTGGGAGCCTGGGGGGGCGGAGCCTCGTACAGACTCGTACTGCTGACTGTAAGGAGAGTTTGGATCTAGGAGAGATCACTAGATTACACAAACATGCTTGACTCTAAAACTTCTTCAGACAGATTTGTGATGAGGAACAATTTTAGAAGAAAGTTTGAAGAATCCTCCAGTAAAACGACTGAGAGAAGTACTGCAGTATTCATAGTACTGCAGTATCAGAAGTACTGCAGTATTCAGTATCAGAAGTACTGCAGTATTCATAGTACTGCAGTATCAGTAGTACTGCAGTATTCATAGTACTGCAGTATCAGAAGTACTGCAGTATTCAGCAGTATCAGAAGTACTGCAGTATTCATAGTACTGCAGTATCAGAAGTACTACAGTATCAGTAGTACTGCAGTATTCATAGTACTGCAGTATCAGTAGTACTGCAGTATTCATAGTACTTGTAGTAGTACTTGTAGTACTTGTACCTGGCAGCGATGTAGAGCAGGTGTTGGACTCGGGTCATTCTCTGAAAATCCAAACCGAGTCTCTGAGTGTCGTTGTCCTGAAGAGAACCAAGAAAACACGGGAACCTCAAAGCCCCTGAAACGAGAACAGACCTGGTTCAGTCCTGGTTCAGTCCTGGTTCAGTCCTGGTTCAGTCCTGGTTCAGTCCTGGTTCAGTCCTGGTTTAGTTCTGGTTCAGTCCTGGTTCAGTCCTGGTTTAGTTCTGGTTCAGTCCTGGTTCAGTCCTGGTTCAGTCCTGGTTCAGTCCTGGTTCAGTCCTGGTTTAGTCCTGGTTCAGTCCTGGTTTATTTCTGGTTCAGTCCTGGTTCAGTCCTGGTTCAGTTCTGGTTCAGTCCTGGTTCAGTCCTGGTTTAGTTCTGGTTCAGTCCTGGTTCAGTCCTGGTTTAGTCCTGGTTCAGTCCTGGTTCAGTCCTGGAGTCCTGGTTTCAGTCTGGTTCAGTCCTGGTTCAGTCCTGGTTCAGTCCTGGTTCAGTCCTGGTTCAGTCCTGGTTCAGTCCTGGTTTAGTTCTGGTTCAGTCCTGGTTCAGTCCTGGTTTAGTTCTGGTTCAGTCCTGGTTTAGTCCTGGTTTAGTCCTGGTTCAGTCCTGGTTTAGTTCTGGATTAGTCCTGGTTCAGTCCTGGATTAGTCCTGGTTTAGTCCTGGTTCAGTCCTGGTTTAGTTCTGGTTCAGTCCTGGATTAGTCCTGGTTCAGTCCTGGTTTAGTCCTGGTCTCTGATTGGCTGGACTCACGTTCCCAGGAGACGATGCTGATTGGCTCCTGGTCTGTGGGGATCGATGACATCACCGCGGTTGCCATGGAGACGCACAGGAAGCACAGGAGCGACGGCCAATCACGGCGCGCCATGTTGGGTGGGGGCGGGACCGGAGGGGAGAGGGGGCGGAGTCTGGTGATGTCAGAGAAACATGGCCGACGGAATCTGACGAGAGAAAAACACGAGCGTTTGGAAAAGACACAGCTCCACCGTGTTTTTAAAAACCACTGACGCCGACGCCAAACGGAACCACACGCTGACCCCAGTGACCCCAGTGACCCCAGTGACCCCAGTGTCGTTCTTAAATCCAAATCTGAACAGAAATAAAGGACCAATCAGACGCCTTCACTCCCTGAGGCCCCTCCCACTCGCCTTAACAGGTTTGATTGACAGCTCCTGCGTTTTTAACCTCCTCCATCCTGATTGGCTCTTGTGTTGCTATGAGACTTGTGGGCGGAGTTAAACATTGCTGTTTTCAGGTGACATCATCACATCAAAACGTTTCATAGGCTGAAAATTTAACTCAGACGAGGTTAAATTAAATAAATAATCCATCCATCCATTTTCTTCCACTGATCCGGGGTCGGGTCTCGGGGGCATCAGTCTGAGCAGAGACTCCCAAACTTCCTTCACCCCAGACACTTCCTCCAGCTCCTCCAGTGGGACCTGAGGTGTTCCCAGTCCAGCCCAGAGACATGGTCCCTCCAGTGTGTCCTGGGTCTCCTCCTCCTCCTGCTGGGACATGAACACCTCCTGAGGGACACGTCCAGGAGACGTCAGAACAGACGTCCTCCCCTCAGACGCTCCTCTCCACGTGGAGGAGCAGCGGCTCTACTCCGAGCTCCTCCCCTCAGACGCTCCTCTCCACGTGGAGGAGCAGCGGCTCTACTCCGAGCTCTTCACTCTGTCTCTAAGGGAGACGCCCTGCGGAGGAAACTCATTTCGACGCTTGTATCCGCGATCTCGTCCTTTCGGTCACTACCCAGACTCATGACCAGAGGTGAGAGGAGGAACGAAGACTGAGGGTAAATCGAGAGCTTCACCTTTCGGCTCAGCTCCTCTTCACCACAACGATACAGCGACCGCATCACTGCAGACGCTGCACCTGTCCACCTGTCCACCTGTCAATCTCACGCTCCGTCCTCCCCTCACTCCAGAACAAGACCCCGACACACTTGAACTCGTCCACTTGAGGCAGGGACTGTCCACCCGCCTGCAGGGGGCGGGGCTAGGTGGTGTGTTAAATGAATTAAAGGCACAGTTTTGTTTGAGTCAAATCTCAGAATCTGTTCACGATTCAACTTTTGTGTGTTTACTTTTTGGATAATTCATGACAAAGTACAATGTCTGAGAGTATGACATCATCACAATGACATCATCACAATGACATCATCACAATGACATCATCACAATGACATCATCACAATGACATCATCACATTCTAGAATCTGAAATCCACAGAGCCTGTAACCACGGCAACAAGAGCATCATCACAGCTGAACACACACACACACACAAACAGACACACAAACAAACACACACACATACAAACACATACACATACACACACAAACACACACACAAACACACACACACACAAACACACACACTTTTATACACACTTTGGGCCAAACTCACCGTGAACGAAGCTCCACCCCTCAGAGTCATGTGACCAAACAGGAAGTGAACAGGAAGTGATGCGGTGGGGGAGGACCCCCTCAGACCAGCTGAAACACAAAAACCCAGAATGTGGCTTTAGTGAATGTAACAGCGGCGGGGGCGGGCGGGGGCGGGGGCGGGGGCGGGCGGACGGGGGCGGGCGGGCGGGCGGGCGGGGCGGGCGGGCGGACGGGGGCGGGGCGGGCGGGGGCGGGCTTCATGTTTGTCTCATTTGTGCTGGAGATTTGATTTCACTTTAATAAAACATTTTACGCCTAAAGTTGCAGACGAGCTCCAATCACACAGTTTAAAAACCTGTGTGTCAGATGCCCTCCCACACACACGGGAGGAAGAGGAGGAAGAGGAAGAAGAGGAGGAAGAAGAGGAAGAAGAGAAGGAAGAGGAAGAGGAAGAGGAGGAAGAGGAAGAAGAGGAGGAAGAGGAGGAAGAGGAGGAAGAGGAGGCAGGGTCTGTGTCTGTGGCTTTGGTTTTGGTTCTGGAGTAAATCTGCCCGGTAACAGCAGGAGGAGCGCTCTGATTGGCCGAGGAGCAGGGATCATTTATCAGAGCGACTCCAGACGAACGACGTGATTGGACCAAAAACACAGAGACAGAAGAAGAAAGAAGAAAAAAGAAAGAAGAAAGAAGAGATGGAGGAGAGAGAGAGAGAGAGAGAGAGAGAGAGAGAGAGAGAGAGAGAGAGAGAGAGAGAGCACATGAGGACAGGAAGAGAAAAGAACGTGTGAGAAAAAAGATTTAATATGGACTAAACCAGAACTAAACCAGGTCTAAACCAGGACTGAACCAGGACTAAACCAGGACTAAACCAGGACTAAACCAGGTCTAAACCAGGACTAAACCAGGACTGAGCCAGGACTAAACCAGAACTAAACCAGGTCTAAACC